CACAAAGAAGATGGGTAATTCTGCAGGGTAAGTTTTCTGTTCCTGCTTTTGCTAATAGGATAAATGAAGTTGCAGAAAAAAAAGTCAGTGTCCTGACCACTATGGCTTTATTTTTTAACCTCAAGTTAATAGAAAATATTATAAAAATAAACTAATAACTGCTTTTTGTTACTTATTAAGCAAAAATAAGTGTCACGGTCAGTTCACAACATTAGGCAGCTTGCTAACGTCAGTTGTCAATTGTCTCAGAAGTGGAAAGATGATTCACTATCAGTCATGATCACATGTTTAAATGTATTTTACATTTTCTAGTGAGCTGGTTGATCTGTTCCTCTGTGGCTTTATTGTCTGTTTTTGGTTTAACACCATGTTTTTTTACTCTTTTGTGCAGCTTTGTTGCATTTTGGAGGCCACAAGGTGTGGGGAGCCATAGTGCCCTGGAAGAAGAGACTCATGCAGAGGAAAATATTTATATCATACACTAAGGACTGGATGCATGGCTGTCTTTGTCATTGCTGGGACATTAAATAGTTTGTAAAATGCTGACTGCTCCCTCTGCTCAGCAGCTGAACATGACTGCACTACTGAAGCATTATTCACATCCTAATAATAAAATAAATAAAAGCTACACTTTAAATTAAAATCTTTATCAGCCTGTTCCAGAGACAGAAACCAAAACTGGTATTGGTGGAACTTTCCATTTCCTAAAGAAAGTTATGATTATATTTATTATCTGCTTCAAATTCTCGCTTCCTTGTTGGGAAAAAAAAAAGAGGAAGTGCCAGAAGGGCACAATTGTGTTCACTGTGGATTCTATCTGCCACCTTCCACAGAGTCTGTGTCGTCAGAGGGCAGAAGCAATCTCACAGCTGTGTGACATAGAGGTTACATGGCCAATCTTGGTAGTATTAATAATTTAATACACACTTATTTTTGTATTTTCATTGAAATCAGGTATGGCCTGTTCTGGTAACAGCTCAGTAATGCAAAATACTAATGTCTGTCCATCTGGAATTACATCTGAAGGAGCTATGGCTGCTCACCCCCAAGGGGATATCCTTGAAGCCAGGCAGCATCAGTAACTCAGTGGACAGAACAGTCACAGCTTGTGTGCAGAGAATTGACTAAGTGTGAGTTTTTTTTGACAAAGTACATCACTGTTTTCCTGTGGCTTTCTCCTTTACCCTGAGAAGTCCTTGGTGTGGAAAGTCTCACTTCAAAGTCTCTAAAAATTCTGAACAACCTTCCCCCACCTTTGTAAAGTTA